ACCCAAAACCCCTGTTACGCGCCTGCGCTTTATGTTCATGGTGGAGTCAACAATCACTCCAACATTATGAACTTCTATTGATGGAGTTACAAATATGTTACCGACTAATGTTGGGAAGACGATCAGGCTTGAAAAACAATGCTTCATTCTTATTTGCATTAAAGCTCGCATTAACTGCTGCTAAGAGGAGAGGTACGACCGAAACCAAAGAAGATCTTACCTTAAACTCCCCTCTCTGAAAGACAATAAATAAGAATTGAATGATCGATGGTATCAAAAGCGGCTAAATGATAAAAATACACTGATAGAAGACAGTTACCAAGGTCAAGATCATTTAAAATGTCGTTCTAAACATTTAGCAGTGCTGATTCAGCACTATGTTGGAAGTGATGTTGGAAGTGATACGTACAGCTAACTCCCGGAATTGAATGATCGATGGTATCAAAAGCGGCTAAATGATAAAAAATACACTGATAGAAGACAGTTACCAAAGTCAAGATCATTTAAAATGTCGTTCTAAACATTTAGCAGTGCCGATTCAGCACTATGTTGGAAGTGATTAGTGTAATCGCGCAAACACGTGCTGAACTGGACAAAAACGTCTATTACCTGTAGTGTCAAATGAGATGTTAATTGATGGTTTTCCCATGCCAGTTTTATGATGACGTATAGTCAAGAAGGCTGAGGTACTGGACAAAGCTAGATCGAAGCGTTAAATTACTTTGTCGACATTTCCGTTACGCACAGCTAACTCCCTGATTCGGTAAAAACCCTGGAAAATAGTGAGGAAAAGGGCCCTAAAAAGTAACCTATGAGAAAAAACAGGTTCAATGGAATTTTGAGACTAACAATTTTACTAAAATAGCCGCAGTGAGGGTAGCCTTATATCCGAACGCTTAGAAACTGAATGCACACCACGTAAAATGTTTTGCACAAGAAAGGAGCTACATGGTTCAGGAAAACCGGCAAGTTTGTGGATAAACGCAATCCTGGAAATAGTTGAAGAAATGGTTTTTGGTGCATATCACGTGCTCTGCATATGCGCGACAAAATGACAAATTGTAGCTGTGGAAATGTGAAGATGAATTGGTTTCCTAACCTAACCGTATGCTTTTATAGTTGCTGGAGCCAACGATGAACAGATGAGCAATGTAGCTTCTCTGCTAAGTGCCATGTCAGTCATTGTAGAACACTAAAAAACTGTGAAATCGATTAAATACAAATGCATTGTGCAGAAATTTCAATAGGAGGTTTATGGACAGAACAGACAGGATGAGCTCTAACCTTTTTGTAATTTTTTCCCGAGACAGATGGACTGCTAAAACATTGTCAATCCCGGACTTTGGTGCGCTCGGAATTGAATATTAGACCAAAGGCACACACAAACTAGTCACTGGATACGTCGTAAAAGAAGTTTGTCCTTAGAAATGTTTTGTTTATCATTGAAACTACCGCCTCATTATAGCAGTGAAACAGAATTCGGCGATTTGCAAGTTCAGCGCCCACATACTTCATTCGCAATAACAAGAGGGAAAAAACACGGCAACAGATAAATCATTGAAGTTAGACGGCTATCCGATAAGAAACCCCTTACTACTGAATACCGCAGCGCATCCTATCGATCCCACAGAATTTGTGAACAAACGTAATGTAAAAAAATGATACCAGGTCTCCTTCAGCATCAAAGCCTACCTTTGAAAGTTTCCAGAAAAGACAACCATAGACAAAGATCATCCTTAACCTCGAGAGTTATGAACGAGACAGATGCCTTGCCAATGGTAGCAGAGTTATCATAGGAAAGCCCGCCCAGGCAGGAATACGCTACATACGCAGTTAAGAAGACCGATCATTGCATGTCACGCAGCGTTACTTTTTTCCTTTCAAAAATTCGTTAATTCTGAACACCGTTTTCTCAATCCAGCACGACAGTAGACGACATTCCATTGACACGCAGTCGATCTCTATCCCGTATATTGTAATGACCGATCTTACCACAAAGAAATAGAAAACAATTAAGCGCTGTTTGAAAAGTGTCCGAGTGTGGCGTAAATATGAAAAAGAAATCATCGAAAATGTGGGAAACATCGGCTATCTGGAACGTTACCTTCATTACTATCTGGAACGTTACCTTCATTACGTAGACTAAAGCTGTGCTGAAGGACTCGAAGATGTTACAATAACGACTTGCACCTATCGGTAAACAACGGTCAATAAAAATATTTTCCCGCCTTTGAAAAGCCCAACAAATAGTACCGTAATCATCGGGATGAATTTGAATAATTCTAAAGTCATCCTCTATGTCGGTTTTTGACATTAGGGAACCCGTTTTTCAAGAACCAGTTTTTAAACTAATTACATTATCAATTTTGTCGTAAGTTACATGAGAAGCATACTCTGTAATACCCGAATTTACAGACGCCCCGGGGATACGAAAGTTCTTGAATTATCAGAAATTTCCCGGTTTCTACTTTAAGGACTCCTAACGGGGAAGCGACAAACTTTTTAAATTGGCGGGGGTGGGGGTGTTTAAAAGGGCGGGCTACTCTTCCGATACTAAACCCTTTCGATATAAATTGCGGGTAACACCTGAAACAGGAGGGTGGGAGCAAAATATACGAAACCCACATGTAAATCTCTCGATTATATCTGAAAATCCACTTGGATTATAACCTAAAAGAAACGTCTGAGCTCACTTACTGTGACTGGCGTTGGAAGGGGCATTGGGTCGTATACCGACGTGGCGCACTTGTTGGAGTGTAAAGGTGGGCTTTTTCCTATTACACACTGTTTTAGTGTAGGGGAACCGACAGTCGGCACAGATATGGGCGCAGATACATTTGCTGACCTGGCAAGTTTCCCGGCGTTAAATTTGAAGCATTTGCCGTTGGCCACGAGAATTATTTTGCCCCTAAGCCGACTGTGCAAAATGTCCCAACGAAGCCAGCTTTAACATAAGCTTTGAAAGTAGCACCTCCTGCTTTGATGGGTTGCAATGTCTGGCTTTCCTGAAACCCTCATCATGTTTCCGCAAATTGACATTAGCAAAAACATGTTCTAGTATATTGTCTATATACTTAAGCAAATTAACGCATTCCATAGTTATATTTTTCTATGTAAATGGACATATAAATAGTGAAAGCTATCCACTCAGTTATATTAAGCAATTTCTTCATACTGTTGTCGTTATCGATTTTCAATAGCTTATCTAAAATTGTCAGGGAGACATTATTTGTCTTAACGTCATTAGGCCTACTGACTAGAGCAGGGAAATCGACGTTCGACCAAATTTCGTTTTTGATTGCCATGGGCACACTGTTGCCCAGTGCTATCGAGTCTGCCATGGTAAGTTGATTACCCCTTCCCTCACCTTCGAAAATCTCAACTACTGGCGTGCTAGTGGAATTCGTCGCTCCAGAAGCATTTTCTACATGCGGGGGAGAACTTGATTGTATGCTGTTCATTTTCTGAATAACTCTCGTGACTTCGACAGCCAGCTTAGTATAGTCAACTTCAATGATCGGTGTAGCTTTGGTATTTCTGGTAGTCATTTGTTGGGAGCCGCAGCCTTCTTGTTATGAGCCGCAGCCTTAGTTGCTGAACCACTCTTCATATAGTTTTGGGCATGATGATACCTGAAACGAAGTACGAAACAACGTATATCATTAGTGTTTGTGGCTCCTAAACACAATAACTTACCCGGAGGTACATGTATCTTAAATACATTGCCTGTGGGTAGAGAGATACCCGGAGGTATAAACTTGCCAGTAGGCCAGTAGGCCGAAATTTATCTGGTATTAATAACCCCTAAGCCGAAAGTTACTCGTAAGTATAGAATGCCCCTAGGTACAAAAATTGCTTTTAGGCAAATTACCCGTAGTATAAATTGCCCGTCGGCCGAAAGTTACCTGGTATAAATAACCCCTAGGCCGAAAGTTACTCGTAAGTATAGAATGCCCCTAGGCCGAAAGTTACCCATATTTATAAATTGCCAATAGGCTACACATTACCCATATGGAATACACTTGCCCGTAGGCCGAAAATTATCCCGGAGGTATGAAATTGAATAGGCAGATAATGTCGGAGGTAACAATTGCTCATAGGCGGAAACTATTCATGGGGATAGCAGCCAATAATTGCCGAATGGTTCCTGAATCTTTAAAATTACCCCTGATTAAGATTGATATCTACTGATCAAGATAAAAGCAGCTATAAAATAATAAATTGTTATAAATATACTAGCTTTATGACTTTTTCGGCCTGTAAAATTGCCTGAATAGCGATCCATCCCAGCTGATCGACCCTGTGGCGCATCATTGATGTGTGTGTGTGTCTCATTGTTCTAACGCCTCTGTGCCTCCAATACGTTACTGAGAGGTCGTCAGCATAGGTGTCTCGAAGTTAGTTGTTTTTAATAATGGAATCATTAAAAGTAGGATTTACGACAGTTGGTAGCGTAGCAACAACTGGCTAATGAGCACGTGTTTACAGTCAAGACCCAATTTAAGGAAATCCATTAGGTTGTCTAATGTCTGTAAAAATGCTCGTTGGTTATTCGGGTAGAGTGGGCCAAGCAATTAGAAATTTTAGAAAATCACAAATTTTAAGGCCTCCAGTTTGTATAATTGCGCATCTAAGTGCAGGTCTAAGAATTTAGATCCCCCTCTATAGAATTTTAGTCGCCTGATTAATTTTTAGCCTATTACACAATAAAAACGTACCATCATGCTGTCAGCAATGGTGCTGTAGGTACTAATAAATAATAATAATTTATATATTTAAAATTAAATTAGCATCTTTACATAAGCAGTGAATCACATATTCTCAGAACCTACAACACCACCGCTCACAACACCAGGTACAACTGACGGTACGTTCTTAACTCGTTATTATTAAAGTACGTTATCAATAATAGCTAAAATTTACAAGTTTCATTGATTTCTTTAGAAATATGTAATAATAATTTAGCCACTCTTTAATATTGATGTAATCCAGTAAATCACATATATATAGGACCTACAACGCCACCTCATTCGACAACATCAGTGACAACTGAGGGTACGTTCTTATATCGTTAATATGTTATATGTGTTAAGAGTTATCAATAACTAAAAGTTTCGAATTCCATTGTTTTATACCTTCTAAGTTTTTATTATTAAGTTAGCCTCTGTCAAATATATACATAAGCAGTAAATCACATATTTCTATAAATATCAGGACCTACAACACCACCGCCCACAACATCAGTTACCACTGACGGTACGTTTTTTACTCGTTATTATTTCATATAACCAAATTTCATTAATTTCTTTTGAAATATGTAATAATAATTAACAAGTGTTTAATATAACTTGCATGCCCTACAACGCTATCTCCGACGACAACAACGGTGACAACTGAGGGTACGTTTATAGGTGTAATTTTGCCCTACCTGACGTGGAAATGTACTGAATACTCAGTACGTTTAAAAACAATTGCGAAAAAAATCGTAAGTTGTTCTCGGGTTAGACTCAAACCCACGATCTCCAGATCACTAGCTTGGCATCATACCTCTAGACCACCAAGCTTGCGCCTGATGGCCAGGGTTGAATTTGGGTCCAAGTAAGCAGCGGGTACTGCAGTGTTGATAGTAATTGTTATTGTCGTGATAGAATAGACAATAACTGGATTTGCTTCAGGAGAAACATGTATAGGTGTAATTTTGCCCTACCTGACGTGGTAATGTACTGAATACTCTGTACGTTTAAAAAACAATACGTTCAATATGAGGGTACGTTCTTGTATCATAAATATTTTATATGTGCTTAAAGTTATTAACTAAAAGTTTAAATTTGATTGTTTTATATCTTTGAAATATTTTATGTTAAATTAGCCTCTGATAATTACATAAACATTAAATCATCACTGCCGACAACATCATTTACAACTGACTGTAATTTCTTAACTCGTTAATATTTTATATACAATATCAATAATAACTAAAAGTTACGAGTTTTATTATGAACTTTGAAGTAAGTAATAATAATTTCGCAAGTGTTTAATATCGACATAAGCCAGTAAATCACACAATTTTGTAATTCACAGAACCTACAACGCCACCTCCTCCAAATAATGATTGTGCGTTCTTGAATCATTAATATGTTATATGCTATATATATATATATATTTATAAAAGTTACGAATTTCTGACAACCTACGAAACTACAACAATAAGTAAATGCGTGAGGTACACCACGTAGATAGTTTTGAAAATCACTGTTGTTTTTTTTGTTTCTGTTTTGTTTTTTTAGTATACTACAAGCATTTATTATACTACTGTATTATTTCGCCATGCAAACTTTCAAAAAATGAACAATAATAGAACTATCCAAATAATATTGTCGAAATATTACAGCCTGATTACAGCCTTTCCAGACCAATTATATTTTGACACTAACGTCATTTTACTGTCGATGAGGTTGTTATGTGGGCAACCCGTCTGCTTATATTTCTGTTAGTTTAACTACTTTAATGTACTATATATATTAGGCCTAGGCTAATTTATATGTTCAATGATAATTTTTTTTTCAGCTTGTCCTGAATCTCAAGTTAAATGCGGTGACTCAGACATGTGTATCGATGAGACATTTCTGTGTGATATGCTCTACCCGGATTGTGACAACCTCTATGATGAATCAGCTGACACATGCAATGGTAATTTTGTTTACATTGACCTCACGAATAATCGTACCTAGAATAGGTTGTACTCAGGTTCTAAAAATAAAAAAAAAATATATAACTTTATTTAAAAATCGTATGTAAATTTAAGCTAATAACTAAAGGTGTATGTACTACTTTTGTGAGTAGTACTGTTAGAAATTTTGTTAGATTTTCCACGCATATTGTCCCCATTGTCACAGTGCCGATGTCTAAATTGCTTGACCGATAACAATAAAATGTTATATCCTGGACACTACTTCGGCAAACCCCGTAAGCACACAAATACACATCCATACAGCAGACAGTTAAAAATTAGTTTTATGTTCATTGTGTCCTTGACCTATGAGCCTTACCCTTCAAAATTGTATAGTCACATAGCTAGATTTCTGGTCATGTAATATTGTGGCCGAGATGAATACCGTGCACTGTACAGGTTGTTCACACTAAAACACACAAACAAATTAACAGGGGCGAAAACATAACTTCCTTGCCGGAGTTAATTACAGCTGAGGTAGTCTTGCTTTAAATTTTGCAGGACTAAAGGCATCCATTGAAAGCCTTGGTCGATGGGGCTCTCACAGTTGCTTCAGATAATTGTTCCACTGTTTGGCATTTCTGAGGAAGAAAGAATTTTTTGTGATAGTCTGCAGATGATATTGGGATGTGAAAGCAAAACTTGATTATAATAATGCATTTTGTAAAACATGGAAAGATATGCTTTTGTTCGCTGATCTTTTAATGTTTGCCATCCCAATCTGTTGATGATTATTGAGCAAAGCGTGCTGCCCTCCTTTGAACCATCTCTAATTTCTGTGTGTTTAGCGAGGTGTAAGGATTACACACAACTTAGGCATATTCTTGCAAGGAGTCAGATCATTATTGATATGCCATACTTTTAAGTTTTGGATTATTAATTCTAATGTTCCTTTTGAGGAAGTTGAGAGTATTATTGGCCTTCGAAACTGTTACATTAATGCGAGTGTTCCATTAGAGATCATTTGAAATGTTGAGCCCCAGATACTTCTCTTTTTTACGTTAGCTACTGGCTTGCCATAGAAAGTGTAGTGGGTTTAAAACGGTCTTTTCATCTTGGAGATAGATATTATTATTTTATAGTGTTGAACCCCATCCCCCATTATTTTCTCTGTTCATCAAGTATTTCAAGATCTCTGTAGATTATTTGAGGACCTTCATTACATTAAAGGATTTCTGGTACACGAACATTACAGAACCGATCTCTAATTCTGTCAGTTGTCACAGTAGTCGTAATATTTTTAGCATACTTTTTTACTCGTGCACTGAAGTAAAGCTGTGCAAAAATAAATAAATAATTAAATAAGTAATTGAGCGCGGCTCACAAGTAAAGAAAACCCTAAAAAACAGCAGCTAAATTGGTCGTGCTAACAGCCCTGTGTCTTCAGGTTTCCTTGATTTTTTTTAGTTTCTTTACCATACGTAGGCTATTTTTTCCTTGGACATTGTTTTCATCTTGTGGATGAATCGATACACAAACAAAAAATACACCAGCAAAAAAGGAACATTTTGTGTGGTGCACTCTCTCGGTTTTAGGTAACAGGAATCGCTGCAATTCTGACATTTCTGCTACCAGAGAACTTAGCGTCATTGAACAGACACTGACCTTCAAACGGTGTATCAGACCAGGCCACTTTACTCCTAACAATAATTAAGTACGTTCCTAGCTTCCACCTTGGCTTGTTCCATACTGTACTAACTCGGTTTTTCCTCACATCTGCTATTACATGTATCTGCATGTTGTACATGTGTCTTTTCTTTTGCTTGTAATTGTTTAATTTTTTTATTTCTGTCATTCTTTATTCAGTGACAAAAAAGTATACACAAAACATGGTTTAGGGGTTCCTAAACATATGCAGGGTAAGAAATAACATTGACATTAAAACATCATTTTAAGAAGGGGCAGTTTTCCCAGGTTTCGCTGTGGCGGGCATTTAAAAATAGTGTTGCTACAAAGTAGAGCCAATTGGCTTAGTTTCTTCATGAGAGGTTTAATCTGTTTCGTGCGAAGTTAAAAGATAGTAGACTTAAGTCGATCTTCATGTTCTGGGGTAATTAACCTCTACTTCCAATTTCTTTAAAGAAGAGGTCACAATGATATCCCTTTTCTCTTATATCTTCAATAAGGTTTATTCTATTTATTCTTTGGCAATATTGGTGCAATCTATAAATTATGTACTCAACGTTCCGTCCAAATCGATAAAAAATAATAAATAAATTATGAAACAATAAATAAATATCATTACTGTAAAACTGTTATTCTAACAGGTGTTCCACCATACTTACAGCTATTTCGTACTACATGATTTTGTTCTTCTGTCTAAGTATTTCCATGGATATCAGCTCATGCTGCTATGTTAACTACATGGTTCTCATTAGGGTATCACATTAGATATCAGCCTGATATAGCATGCTGTACAACATGCAAACTACAGTATTCACGTTAATGTTGTTCGTTGGGTATTACATTGGATATCAGAACATGCTGTACCACATGTTGCCTACAAAGTTCTTCTTATAGTATTAGAAAGGCTACCAGATCATTTGTACCATATTATTTGGATTAAGTGGATAAATGTTCATGACAAAGTTTTCTAAGAATTGCACCGGATATCAGTGTATGCTGTACCACATGCAATTTACAAGACTCTTCTTAGACTATTATACTTGATATTAATTGTCATCTGTGGGCAAATGAATTAAAAATATGTATACTTGCGAAGTCGCAGTCTTATTACGGTAAGTGTTTAGCCTAAGTCATTACACTATGGATATATATATATATATATATATATAAAAAAAAAATATCTCAATTTTTTGTGAAACAGTGCTCAATCCCACTGAAAAATCTATCTCTTATACACATCTAGATGTGTATAAGAGACACCACACGTTAAGTACAGGTTCACTTTGGGTATTACACAGGCTAAGAGCATTCTGTGTCTCAGCTTATTGTCATGTCTTTTGATTCAAGGCTCAACTGCAAAACATCCACTTAGTATGGGTTGCTGGCGTGCCGCCTGCCTTACATGCAATCCAACTTTGGCTTTATTCAGAGTATGCCATTGTGTTATTTTCTGAAATAATATCTATTTGTTCGCTTCACAATTTACGTGCGTTCGTTGCGCAGTTGCTTCCACTTTACTCAATAAAAATTAATTTATTACCAGAACCTTAACTTCAGTCTTGTGTGATCTTACCTGATGCCTCTGAAGAATAGTAACAAATTATCAATACGCTAATACCAGATACAATGTAAAAACAGCGTGGAAACACGAACCTCCATGCAGTTTTGTCAAGGTTTTGGTGGAGGTCTAAAAGCTAAATGCGTTTAGGCATAGCATAATGTAATTTTGACCTGTTTATCTTGTGTTTAAACCCATTAAGCCAGTTTTATAGTGTAGGAAATCCTTAGAAGTATTGAACTTATACGAATTGATCTTATTCCAGTCACGTGCCCGCCCACACTCTTTAGATGTCCATTTGGCCCATGTACATATGATGACTTTATATGCGACGACTACCCGTACGATTGTCTTGATAACTATGACGAATCTCCAGAACTCTGTGAAGGTAAATTATATTAAATTCTGTAGTAAAGTTTTACATTCCATTAGGTTATTATATGATTTACAAACCTTCTATTTTTATTTATTTTTTATTTTATTCAACTTCAACAGGCAAGGACAGAACAGGTGAACAAGCACCTCTACCACCTTACCACCAGAGTGAGATAAATGAAACAACAAAAATAAATTTAATTTGCATGAAAATAAATATTTGTCCAATTTACAAATTTTACAAATTCTATTTTAGAGAATATCAATATATGCATATTTTTGTTTGCCCCTTTTGTTCCTTGATGCAGCCAGATCAAGAGGAGTAATGCAATGGTTATTGCTCTAGCCCATCTATCATAGTACATAACTTTAAAGCCATTAACAAAGGCATTAACATTATCTGAGAAATATCAAATTTTCTTTGACAAAAAAGTCATATTGTGCCTATATAATGGTCATGATGTGATGTCACCATGACCATTAGGCATGTCACGTGTTTTTGTAAAATTAAAAATGAACTTTTCATAATTCTACACATTTTTGTATCAGAACCAGTAAATTTTTGAGCAAGCCAAGTGTTCTTATTCTTTTGTCGATTTCAGGCGCAAAATATTCTTGTTTTGTTCTTAGTATATTACTGTACTGTATAGAGGGTATTAAAGTCACACCTACAGCAAATTAGGTACGGATAACATATGTTGGTTTTTCTTCTTCTTCTTTTTTTTTTTTTGTTTGAAAAACCTCATTTGACATTTTACCTCAGCCGCAATTTGTTCTTATTTTCATCTCAATTTTTTGAGAATTTCAGCCTCATTTTCTTATAAATGTGTTCTTATAGAGAAGAAATTGTATCACCATAACAAGGACAGCTTAAAACCCTCAATTTTTGTTTGATAGGAAAGTGTCCAGTACCCGACTCACCAGAAAATGGTAATCTAATCGAGTCATTTGCCTATAAATTCTATCGAAACGGAACGACTGTGTACTTTGTTTGTGACGATGGATACACTTTGCAGGGATCCACGTCAAGTACCTGCTTTAACGGAACATTTTTGGACATTCCGACCTGCCATGGTATGTTGGAGCGTTTGATGTAGCAGCTGCCTTCGAATTTCAAGATACAAGAACTACATAATAATAATGATAATAATAATAATAATTAATTATAATTATAATAATAATAATAATAATTATTATTATTATTACTATTAAGAATTACATTATATTTGTTTTGCTGTGTTCTATTTTCTATATTCATATTCTGTATTCATGGATGAATATAAATACTTCTTAGAAAGTATGCAGTTAGGATGTCGTATGTTGTTTATCATAATCATCATCATCATGCATATACATTACCTATTTAAATATAAATATGATGACAGTGATAATGATGATGAATATTCGTACTCAGTTATGCAGTGGCCTACACAATTTGTAGGGTTGTTGCTAAACAGCCCTTGCTTACTCACAGAAATAACAGGGGCGGATCCAGAAATGTCCAAAAGGGGGGGCCGGAAGGAGGGCCGAAAGTTGGGCCGATTGAGACAACACTGTCGTAAGGGGTCTGGGGGCATGCCCCCGCGAAATTTTTGTGTTCTAGACGCCCGAACATAACATTTGAGGCATTCTTGGCCATCATTTTTTTCTTTTTCTCTTTTTTTCCCCCTTTTTTTTTTCTTTTTTTACCTCCCATAATCTCTACACAGTTCAGAGAACCCAAAGTATATTTTAATATCAAAAGCCTGAATAACATTACACATGTTTAACATAAAAAACGAAGATTAACTATGTCACTACTGTAAGGTTTTTTTTTTTTCAATGACATCGGTTGTAGCCCCTTCACATGTATATATGTGTAGGTGTGTGTGTGTAGTCCGTGGTCCGTGGGAGGGTGTGTGTGTGCGTGTGTGTGGCGTGCAATCTCGCCCGATTGATCGGCTTGCCAAGAAAGGCCTATCATGCTAGGACTCGTTTGGATAGGCCTAGCTGAGTCTCGCGGATAGACCGCGGGCAATTATTTTTCAGTACATTGATACGGTGCGACGGAGCGAGGATTTCTAATCAAAGATATACTGATGTATTTATATATGTTTTCTTAGAAAACTGCATTTTGCCAACTCCTCCTGGGCATGGATATGTATCGGGATTGACCCTTCATGGGGAAACCATAATTTTCAGTTGTGAAGATGGATTCAGACCAGATGAAAATAGTACTCTGACTGCGTTATGTGTGGATGGACAGTACACAATAAGTACAATCATGTGCAGAGGTAACTTCTTGTATTTTCACTTTTAAATACTTTTAACAATGACAACCGAATATATTTGACAAATTATGAATAACATGCATTTAAATTTGGTTTCAGATATACCTGAATGTATGGAAAAACGTGACGATTGTTCCGTCAATGCTATCTGTATGAACACGCTAGGCTCATATACATGTAATTGTAACTCTGGATATGAAGGCAATGGGACTTCATGCGAAGGTTTGTGAATTTTGGTATAGGCCTACTATTGATAATCTCTCACATGAATTGCATGCGACCTTCTTAATTATAGACCCTCTTAATTACAAAACATACGCACTAAACGGTTAAAGAATAGTTCAATCATCTATATGAATAATTTGTGGAAGGAAGATGCTTCAGTAAATTTGTGTATTCTGAGTAAATTTATAGGATGGATTTTAGATCTTTGATGCAACAATTTATTGTTTGTATTTTTTTTTAATTTCTAAGATCGATGTTTTTAATAGTAAATTTTAATGTTTATTACGATTTATGGCTTTGTATAATTGTGGATTATTGTGTTTTTATCTTTATATATATTTATATTCAATCGTATTGACTGTTTATTTTTTTCTTTTTCTAAGGTTTTATATATATGTTTTTTACAATTTTATTAAATCAGCTATTGGCTGCCTTTAACAATTTTGATGTTTAATGGGATATTATGTCCTCATACAACAAAGAGGTAGCATTTTAAGTTATATTTATCTTAACTCCTGTGTTAGGTTCATAACTCTAAAAGTTACTTATTTATTTACTGTCATCAATATGCGTTTAACAAAACTCCGACAACAGAGACAATACATTACACATGTATGTTCACATGTAACAATAAAAGTAAACAAGTATAACTAAAACACGCACAGATCGTTATACAAGCAAAAATAAAACCTATATCTGAGCAGTAAATTGAAAACAAAAAATAAATATAAAAATAAAATAATAAAATTTATTTATCCTGTACATTCAGTCTAAAGTTTATAGCTGTGGCGAAGACCAAAGGAGTAAATCTTTTTCAACCAACTGTATTTCTTAGGCAACTTGCACATTATTTTAACATCTTTTTTTGTAAAAAAAAAAATAGCAAATCTAGGAATCCACTTGTTGGTTCATTAGTAGTCAGCAATTGAAGCCCATTACAACAAGATGTTCACCACCATGGAAACAATCTGTGCAAATTTACAGAAGTGAATTAAGGCATTGTTAGCAAGATATTCAGCAGCATATCGTCTAAGACCTCTTCACTTGATTCTTTTCACACAGACATTATTGTGGATCCACATTTATTCATTGTACGCATAATTTGTTTATTAAACTATCTCTTCATTTCTAGAAGAGTTAAAGATTGGAATTGTAAGGCCCACTCTTAAGAAGCCTTCACTTGATACAAATCTCATGTCAAATTTCCGTTTTCTCATTTTGTTTTTATTTTGAAAAATTTCTTGAGTTTGCTTTACTTGGTTTGCTTGTTTTTATTCTACCTTGATTCCAATTTGCATAGTTATAGCCAGGTGTTTTTTTTTTTTAATTGTTAGCCATTCTTTGTTTTATTACCAGTCCTTAACACAGTACAGAGCACACCTTTAGGTGGCTGCCACCTCCCCTCCTAAATCCGCCACTGGATCCATTAAGAAATTCTTAACCAACAAATGCTTAATTTAAATAGCACATGCAGTAATAACATGTCTACTAGATTTACTGCAATAGCACACTATATGGCACACTATATGGCATTCTACTTCTTTTGAAAATGGCAGCCCGTCTTGTAACCGGCACCCCAAGATTTGTGGCAGCTGTAAAATCAAAAGCTGGTCGGGCTTGGTCGGTCAGTGGAACTGTGGGATGGTGTGCGATTTTATTTTTGTCTGCTTTGTTGGTTTACTATTTGGTTAGTTCAAGTTACTTCCTGTTTTAGTTTATTTTCATACATTATTCACATATATTTTTGAGCACCTTGAGACGATTTCGATCGTGGAAGGCAATTTAAATAACAATTTAAAATATTCAATATCATTATTAAAAATTAAAATTATTATATTATTATAAATTTTATGTACAATCGTCACTTCCAAAAATACAGTATTCACCAATCGTCATGAAAATACAAATTGTCATGTACAATCATCATAAGAAAATAAGATAAAATTAATTTCATTTACAGTCGTCAAATAAAATAGCAAATAATAAACATTAGTAAATTGCTCCTTTAAATTCTGTTTAAACCTAAAGAATGGCTCCTTAATAAGATTATTTCTTATCGTAATATCAAATTTGGAAAAGGCTTAGCGGTGGAACCAAAGAATAATTATTTTAGTTTGAATGCCCTTAGTTGCAAAGTACTACAAGGAATTTTGCATTCCGTAAAACCACAGGTTCTTAACCTTTTTGATCCACTAACCCCTGTGGTTAATATTGACAATGTTTCCGACACCCACTTCTCATCCTGTTGGTAAAACTTGTTTCCATTGTTTAAATATTGTAAATGCAAACAATGAAATATAATTATTTAAATTGTGATCATAACTCTGATACTTAAATATTAGAGCGGCAAACCACACCAAAAATTAAATATAAGAAACAGTTCATATTAGCTACCAGTTTATCAATCATGTTTAATTAATATTGTTACCAACCGTCGGTCATTATATATCTAGGGCGTGTGTAAGAATTGGTCAACATGACAGTCACACCCACCTTCGCGCCACATTGGATAGGGTAGACTTGCCACAAGTCTCTTATTTTTTTTAAATTATTTTTCTCATTCTGGACAGCGCCACCAACGAGAAAGTTAATTTAGAGATAGACAGAAGCACATCAAATTTGATGTGGGAAATTGCACGCATGAATCGTTTGCCCAGGCCCTAATTCGAAAAAAAAGAAATCGAGTATGGGACGCCAATTAAATTAGGTATGGCGCGCACTAAGTGCAATAAAGAGTGAGTAACCTAAAATTAGGGCCTGGAACCCAGCCTATGGATAGGGTTGAGGTTAGCAGATTTTTAAAATGTGCAGTCTCATATTTTAAAGTGTTTATCTAATTGTTCTTATTATATGATGTGATTCAACCTAAATTTGCTCAACTCCCAATCCTAACCAAGATATACTCTTAGGCCTATCCCTCATATCATGGTTGTTGAGACTGATGTGAGCAAATTTCATAGTATATGGTAACTACAGATGTTCTGATATAGTACTATCATACAGTATTTTAAATATAAAAAATATGTTTTTCATGATCTTTCAAATTACATAGAACATAACTAATCACCAAAGTCCCCTTTTTGTATTACTGAGCCTCCTTCTTGCATTTCACTGATTCCCTTGCTGATGCCTTGACAATCTACTGACACCTGAAGGCGCCTGCCGACCTCCAAGGGATCAGTAGACCCAAGATTGAGAACTGTGAATATAACCTATTTAATGAACTATGGATTGAAATGGGAAGTTTCACAATGACAGATCCAATCAAAATAATACAAGATAGGAGTATACTTTCAATCATCACTTGATAACATCGACTTGTATTATAACTAAAACACAACAATGTCATGAGTATTGTGGAAAAACATACCGTTACCTGATATGTATGGTACTGCGTACACGTATTAACTAGCACGAGGGGTGGCGTCAGTGAGGGGTGGTTGGCAGGGAGCCCCGTTGAGGAGAAAAACACACTTCGTCGAAAAAAGAAAAAAAAAAGATATAATTAACATAATGTTTACATATTAGTAGACTTTGAGAATATGCCCGACCGCCACACCCACTTGCGCTCTCGTCGGGGAGTAGACCCCTCTCCTTCGGGGATATTGTACTCTTCTTCGGGCAAACCTTGGTACCGCCTTGACAAAAATAGCCAACTACGTTTTTCTATCTTAATCATTTAATCAATATCCTAAATTAAACTACAGACACATATAATCATATTTTTGTTCAGATATTGACGAGTGCGCAGGTGATATGCACACATGTGCTCCGTTTCCTTCAGCGTCATGCACAAACACAATAGGATCATACTTATGTTCCTGTAACGAGGGATATCGAGGAGATGGACAGATATGTATCGGTAAGTTTATCTTTCTTAATTTAGTGCTTATTATAGGAGTCTGAATGGTACTTATATTGATTGCACACAATATTTTAAAAATAAATTACGAAAACACACATAGAGAGAAATTTGTGAATATTGAATGTATTTATTTTTGTGTTATAGACCTGTTTTATATTTCCTTAAACTGGTTTAGAGATATTTAAATCTTAAAAATAAATATTTTCTAAACATTTCAATAATTATTAGAAATCGTGTTATTTCTGTTTGGTGTCGAACACGGAGACAAAAGTCTTGTTGAGGAAGTTGGTTATGGTCGTGACGTCATTTCACCAAACATCGAACCACTCATCGGTTTTCCGTTTGGAAGCACATTCTATTATAGAATTTATGTAAGTATATAATGTTACTTAAAGGCCTTCGCACCTCTAGGACGCTCCTATTGACAACATTTCTTCATCGCACCCTGTCCTGAACAGTACATTCGAACTGTTCTCACGTGTAGCCTTCTTTTTCTCTGCCTCTATGTTTCTCTTCCATGTCCAGGTTTCTCCTCCATGTGTTGCAGGGGAGTCCCTATTCCTTTTTGCCCTGGTGATTTTCAGTTGCGGGCAAGGATATCATCTTCCAGTGGCCTTTGATTTGTTCGGTCCGAGAGTTGTGTTTCAAACCATGTCCTGCCATTTGATGAAATTTCCTTTTCTCAGCTATCTGTTTACATAGCTTTACAACTTGCTCATGCTGCCTTGTGTTTTTTTTTTTTCAAGTCTTTGAGCCATATAATAGTACAGACTTCACTTTACTGTTAAAGAATCTACTTGTGGTGATGTTTGCTGATTTTCCTGTAATCCCAAACAGTTTTTTTTTAAACTTGTAAAGACTATGCGAGCTTTTCGAATCTTGGTTTTAATACCTTCCTCTGTTCCTAACTTGTTGTCGATTATACTACCAAGGTGAAAGATCTGGGTGTAATTATGTGAGAGGAGTGTGAGATCATTTGTAAAATCGAGGTCATCTAGCTGTAATCACAGTGTCGTCTTCTGCATGATTCAGTCTATTTCTAAAAGGTATAAGAAAGGTCAGAGAAGGCCCTGTCTTACGCCTGTTGTGTATAATAACTTCTCGTCATTTACTACCCTGCATGCCATGCCCGTATATATGTAGTGCAAATTAAAGTAACAAATAAAGTAAATAATTCCAGAGAACGTTCTTGACGAGACTGTTAAATGCTTTTTTTTGTAGTCAACAAAATGTATGTATAGTAGAAAGTTCCACTCAATTGATTGTTCCAAAATCATGCGTGTTGCAGTTTGATTCGTACATAATTGGTTGCTCCTATAGCCTGTCCGGTTGTCTCTGAGCTTTGGATCCACCGCTAATTTTAGTCTGTTCAGCAAAACTCAGTTTAAGACTTTTCCAGGTACCGACAATAATATTATGCCTCTATAATAAGTATTCCGGTTATGTAATTCCTCCTTCTTTGGAAGTTTAATGACGTGGTTGTCTTCATCTTCCCAAATTTTCCATAATAAGTAGTAGAAAATATTAGTTGAGGTCGGTGAGTCAGCCCTAATGTCGGAATACTGCCTGGGCCTGCTGATTTACCATTCCTGAGTGATTGGATTTTTATTTCTTACTGTGATGTGTTGGCCTCATACTGTCGATCTGAATGTATCTTTCTGCTGGTTGTATGTCTGGAGGATTTACTGGTGCTGGTCTGTTTAGTAATCTTTTAAATGTTGTTTTCATCTCTCGAGCTTCTGTAGTTGTAATCTTTCCTTCCTTTCCATCTTTTATTGATCTGTCAGATTCCTGATATTTTCCGAATAGTCATATTTTTTTCTTTTGTCAGCTTTATTTATAGTTTCAATTGAGATCCATTCTTTGTGATGGATCTATTGTCTCTCCATAATCCCTTCACAAGTAGTGTTCCAGATGGTTTAGCCTGTCTCCGGTGAC